CATCTCTGCTCTACCACCTGGTATGGGCCCTGCCAGACGGCCTGTAGTTTGTCAGTGCTGACAGGTTTGAGGATTAACACCTTCTGTCCCACTTGAAAACTACGGTCTCTGGCACCTCTGTCATACCAACGACGCTGTCGTTGCTGGGCGGCCTGGAGGTTGGTGCGCACTGCCTGGGTTAATTCCTCCAGGCGATCGAGGAACGCCAGCACGTATGGTACAATAGGGGTCCCATCTGCGCTACTCTCTCCCTCCCAATGCTCTCTAATGAGATCCAACGGTCCCCGGACCCTTCTCCCAAATAACAGTTCAAATGGGGAGAAACCGGTAGACTCTTGGGGTACCTCTCTGTAGGCAAACAACAGATGGGGAAGGAATCGTTCCCAGTCCTTATGGGTCTCTCCGAATGTACGGAGCATCTGTTTTAGGGTACCGTTGAACCTCTCACACAATCCGTTGGATTGAGGGTGGTAGGCCGAGTTAATGATTGGCTTAATGCCACATATTTTCCATAACTGCTGAGTAACCTCGGCCGTAAATTGTGTCCCCCTATCGGAGACAATTTCCTGCGGGAACCCTACTCGGGAAAAGATTTTCGTCAGGGCTTCGGCCACGGTCTCAGCGTGAATATTGGTTAAGGCAATCGCCTCGGGGTACCGGGTGGCGTAGTCCACCACGGTCAGTATATACCGCTTCCCAGAGGGGCTGGGTTTTGGTAGTGGCCCCACTATATCTACAGCCACACGGCTGAACGGTTACTCAATTATAGGTAGGGGACACATTTTCGCCTTGTGGCGATCCCCTCTCTTGCCTACCCGCTGACACACATCACAGGAGGTACAATAATGTCTTACATCTTTAGAAATCCCGGGCCAAAAGAAAGCGTGAGTTAAGCGCTACCAGGTCCGGGTCATCCCTAAATGGCCAGACAGAGGAATGTCATGGGCTATTCTTAGTAACTCATGTCTATACTTCTGGGGTACTACCGGCTGCTTAGTTTGGAGAGTCACAGAGTTTCCTATTTCCCTTTCAGCCACCCGGTACAATAACTTGTTTTCCCAAATGTACCGTTCCCCCTCCCGCCCCACCTGGTCCGTGTCTACTCTATCTCGGTACACCTGCAGTGTGGGGTCTGTCTGGACCTCGGCTTCAAAAGTGGTCGGGGTGTCCCAGGTCATATGCGTCAAGGGGGGGTCATGGTTTCTTACCTGAGCCTCAGAGTGTGCTGGTGGTGCCGTGGTGCGAGCCTGTTGCCGTGTAGTTACCGGGTGAGCTTCTTGCGAAGGGCCCTGTGGTAGGAAAGCTGAAGTCATCTGGCCCAAGTCATTCCCCAACACAACATCTGCCGGTAACTTCTTCATTATTGCCACTTCTACAACCCCCTCCCCAGCACCCCAGTTTAAATGCACCTTGGCAGTGGGTAGCAGGTACATGGCTCCCCCTGCTACCCTGACCGCCACTGATCTGCCAGTGTGGGCCACATCTGGAACTAAATGTGGAGCAACCAGGGTCAAAGTGGCTCCCGAGTCCCTCAGCCCCTGTACTTCCTTCCCCCCCACAAACACAACTTGGCAGTGATGCTGCCGGTGGTCAGGTTCCGTGTGGTAGTAATGAGCTGCTGCCCTTGGGGTGGAGTTTTGCCGTACCTGGTTCCACGCCTGTCTACTCCGATTCTGGGTGCACTCCCGGGACATATGCCCCCACTGCCGGCAGGTATGACATTGTATGTTGGCTCGGCCATTGTAGCTGGATGGTGGTGGGGGGTTCCCTGGTGCTGGCCGGAATGGGGCAGAGTTGGTAGGTGTGGAGATGGTCGGGTGGTGTTGTACTGGTGATCTCAGGGGACCCCTGTTGGTGAGCCCATGATGCCTCCTGGCATCAAAGTGTTGATCTGCCAACCGGGCGGCTTCTGTGAGGGTGAGGGGTTTTCTGTCTCTTACCCACTCTTGTGCCTCTGGTGACAGGCCGTTAAAGAACTGCTCCAACAGGATGAGTTGGCGCAGTCCCTCCATGGTGGTGGCTTGGCTTGCCTGAATCCACCCTTGTGAAGCTTGGTCAAGCTTATGTGCCCACTCAGCATGGGAATCTTTTTCTGGCTTCCTCAATCCCCGCAATTTACGCCGGTATGCCTCCGGGGTTATGGCATACCTCTCTAGAATGGCCCTTTTGACTTTAAAATAGTCCTTGCTGTCCTCTCTGGGCACAGCGCGATACGCCTCTGCTGCTCGTCCTGCCAACTTGCCTGCTAGTAGGGGTACCCACATTGCCTGCTCCAGATCGTGTAGGTCGCATAACCGCTCAAAATCCTGCAGGTATCCATCGATCTCATCCTTCTCCTCGCAGAATGCTTTAAATGCCTGGTAAGGTATTTTCTGCTTTACTGAAGCACAGAATGAGTTGGTGATGGATTCTGCCCTGGAGGGTGCCCACTGGGGCTGCTGTGCCATAATGTAGTCCTGGACGTCTGCCATCAGTACGGTCAAGATGTCCAGGGGTACTGGCTGGGGTACAAATTCCAACCGGGTTCTCAGTTCCCTCTGATATGGTGTTTCCTCCCTGGCAGGTGGGGGTGGACTGCTGTGTGCTTGGTCGCCTTCCATCAGCTCTGCAATTAGTACTGCTTTGGATTTGTTGCTAGCGTTTTTCCCTCTAGCCTCCAGCAGTTCCTTTAGCGTCTGCCTCTTTAATGCCGTGTAATCCGTCCCCATTCTCTGATCGCTTTCGTCTGTTTGTTGCATACGAATTGCCTTTCCCTTTTTCCGTTCGGTTGTTCCTTTCATTCGAATGCGCTGTATTCGGCTGTAGAGTTGGATCCCGTCGCTTGCCACCAATTGTAGCGGAACGCCAATATTAAATCCACGAATTCCGCTGGTTCAAGAAGTAATCCACAGTCAAGCGCTGAAACAACAAGGCAATATCCCCAACCTCCCAGTAACCGGACGAAACACAGTTCTGAGAGTCAACTGAAGTCCTTTAATTCTGCTGCACAATTTATACAAGTCCCCATGAAAGGGGTTTCCTGAGTCCCCTCCCAGGGGCATTCCTAGAGGGGACTACATGGGGAACTTACAGTACAACACATTTCTCCCATCTGACACTGCTGCACGAGAGGGATCCTCCTCCTAGAATATGCCGTTAAGTGGATTATCCCCTCGTGCAGCAGAACTGACAATTTATACAAAAATCCATAACTTTGTGAATATACTGTTGATTTGCACGAATGGACGTTCGGTAGATAGCTGGGGTCTGAGTGCATCATTCGTGAGATTACCGCTCAGATCCCAGCTAAAATAACCGAACGCCGCACGAAAAACACATTTATTGAAAACCATATTGAAAAGACCGATTGCCTTCCAGGGAATGAAATACCGAACGGCCTGGAACTCCCGAACGTCCTGGAGGCTCAGCGGTGTTCGTGCCGTCGAGTAGCCGTTTTTAGTACCATGCGCTCGACGATCTAGCACCGCTGAGGGAACAAAGGATCCAAGATGGCCGACCGCCGCATGGTCGGTAGTCGAACGACGGCCACCCAGGAGAGCCTCTAATTACTGATTGCAACATTGTTGCAATCGGTTAACCAGTGCCACACGCCTCTAAGTGTGTGGGCTATTAAGGGTAGTGTTTTCGGTTCACGAACGGCCCTCCAAAGTGCCGTTCGTGAAACGAAAGGAAAACCCCATACAAACAGCTATCTGCATTCGGCGGATAGCAAATACAGGCAATTCAATACATTACATTCAGCATACAATATACGTAGTTAAACACATATCTCCCCAGACATACAGGCAACCCTTAAAGGTACAGTCTCTGGTTATAGTCCAAGTGGCTAGGTTTGCCACACTTGATATATTTAAGACTTAAAGGAACACTATAGTCACCTAAACTACTTTAGCTAAATAAAGCAGTTTTAGTGTATAGATCATTCCCCTGCAATTTCACTGCTCAATTCACTGCCATTTAGGAGTTAAATCACTTTGTGTCTGTTTATGCAGCCCTAGCCACACCTCCCCTTGCTATGATTGACAGAGCCTGCATGGAAAAAAAAACTGGTTTCAGTTTCAAACAGATGTAATTTACCTTAAATAATTGTATCTCAATCTCTAAATTGAACTTTAATCACATACAGGAGGCTCCTGCAGGGTCTTGCAAGCTATTAACAGAGCAGGGGATAAGAAAATCTTACAGAACTTGCAATAAAGAAAGCCTAAACAGGGTTCTCTTTACAGGAAGTGTTTATGGAAGGCTGTGCAAGTCACATGCAGGGAGGTGTGACTAGGGTTCATAAACAAAGGGATTTAACTCCTAAATGGCAGAGGATTGAGCAGTGAGGCTGCAGTGAGGCTGCAGGGGCATGTTCTATACACCAAAACTGCTTCATTAAGCTAAAGTTGTTCAGGTGACTATAGTGCCCCTTTAACCTATTTTAAAGCACTTGGAAATGTGACAAAAAGTTTAAGTGAAAGAGAAAACAGTGTAGGAACCAAATAGGTCTCTCTACAAGGACAAAGCATGGAAGGCATGAAGCATCTTATAAAGAAAAAAAAATGTAGTAGGCTGCACCAGCATTCTCTGTCCATCTTCAGAGCATGGACTATAATTCTTGCATCACTATGTGGCGTCTCTTGTGCAATGTGCAATTTCAAAATGGTAGCTCAGTATATGTACACTCACACACATGTACCACTACCACCAATTTCTTGACAATGTCAAGAGATCATGAGAGATATATGGTGCAATATGGAATGCCACAAAAGAGCACTTACCTTGCAAATACTGGTTGGACTGCTTATGCTAGTGTACTTAAGTGACTTTCACAATTAATTTCTTACTGAAACAATGCTAAATAGATAAATTAGAGGATTGCCAGTTATTTTTTTATGATTTTTTTCTTTATCAAGCACCAGCCTATTCTGTAGCACTGTACAATATAAAAGGGTCAGAGGCAAGTCATCTTCTAAAAAAAAAATTGTCTGTTTTTCGGGCGCGACGATGTGACGTACGCATGCACGCACTTTCGCGCGCTATTAGGACGAGGCAGCAAGACGTTAATGAGACGCAGAGTCCGGATCTGAGATGTTGAGAGACTAAGCAGACAACAGTGTTTTAGTCTGTACCAAAGCACTCTCCACAACGGCCTTCGCCCTCTGAAAAAAAAAAAAAGGCAGAAACTAAGCTTCAAATATGGCCTGTAATCTCTACTAGCAGTCTGCCCTATATTTGGAATGTATGAAACCCAGCGACGCTTACCGCTTGACGTATCTTAGAAGGGAGTGGGCAGCAGGGGAGAGGAGAGCGATACTGCTACAGACACCAGACGGGCAGTGTGACATGCAGTGTGGTGAGATCCTGGTAAGACCCTGCAGTGTGGGCTCTTGAGACAACCTCTGGAATTCACCATCTATCGATGGGAGGGACACCCAGAGATCGCCGGAGAGCGATGCAGAGCAACAGAAAAGGAAAGGCAAGAGACAAGATAATTTGCCCACAAGTCACCGAATTCCTTTGGTGATTTACTCAAATAGACATCAAGTGGACCATGAGTAAAACTGTAGTTAGTTATTTTTTTCCTACTACAGTTATTTTCTCTGTCATTCTGCTGTAAGCCCTTGAAGTATATATGAATACAAGAAGGTGAATTAATATATGGACTCAATTTGTAGCTTCAGCATCAGAATGTTACTCTATGTTACTCTTTTTTTTTCTTTGCAAATTAGTGTTGTACACAACTGAGCGAGTTTCACCGAACTAAATACAGGGCTTATTAAGCAGACTATAAACCAGAGAATAAAATTACTTAGTTGTATAACCACAGGTACCCCAGGTATTTATTCTGGTGCCCAATTGCTTTGTTACAAGTCCCTAAAGTATACAGAACAGCTAGTTTAAATCCAGATCTAGCCGCATTTTACGGATAGGTTCTGTATTTTTTGTTATATGCTCAACTTCACTGATCTTATGTAAATAAAGATACAAGCTTTAATCTAGGGGAAAAAACAGAACTCTAACTGGTTGAATCCAGCTGAACTATCTTTGCTGGTAGCCTGAAGCAAGGATAAATTGGTAAAGAGAAAGAAAGAGGGGGCAAAAAAAAGAAAAGGGAATATTAACGTAACAACATGGCCCCAAAGAAGGAGAAAGCTGCAAACTCTGACAAAAACAAACAAATCAGTACATTTTATTCTCCAAAAGTATTACCTATCGCAACAGATAAACATTGGAAATCACTACCCCTGAACAACGTGGATCTCTCTGTTAATCAGACTTCAATTTTTTCGAATAAAGACTTTCCATCTCTCCTTCCTCCACATCAGGGAATATCCCAGGAATTGCTAGCACAAATGCTGGATAGTGATGTCCCGAACGGTTCGCCGAACGGTTCGCCACGAAGGGTTCACCACGGACTCCAGTCAGCAGACACATTCCAGCCAATCAGCAGCAGACCCTCCCTCCCAGACCCTCCCACCTCCTGGACAGCTCACTAAGAATGCAGCTTCAAAATGGATGCTGTCCAGGAGGTGGGAGGGTCTGGGAGGGAGGGTCTGCTGCTGATTGGCTGGAATGTGTCTGCTGACTGGAGTCTGTGGCGAACCGTTCGTGGCGAACCGTGGTAAACCATTTGCGAACCGTTCGGCTAACCGTTCGGGACATCACTAATGCTGGACAATCTCTACATAAAAATCTAAAATGATATCGATCACAGCATAAATGACCTCAGACTTAAAGTCACTGCTATATCAGAGAAATTTTCCACTCAAGACACTAAGCTTCAAAAAATAAAGGAAGACCAAGAAAACATTAAGTTCTCAAGCTTACAAATGGAGGAAAAAATCAAAACTATGGAGACCAAAATTACAAACTTAGAAGACCGTTCAAGATGGAATTACATCAGAGTCAGAGGGATACAGGAGACAATTCCACAAGAGGACCTTTTTTGATGAGATTTTTTTCATTATTAATCCCCCCTAAGGCTTAGGGCACAGACCCCTTTGAAAGGTACCATAGACTCCGCAGACCTAATGGAATTGAGCAGTCCCATCCTCGGGATGTTATAATCGGCTTCCCAAGGTTTCAAACTAAACATCTAATCTTACAAGCACTAAGAAATAAGATTCTGGATAAGGAAGAATTTAAACACCTAAAAGTTTTTCAGGACTTTTCTCAGGCGACAAAAGAAGCTAGGTCCTTTGCAGAACAGCTAGTAATACTCAGGAACAACGAGATTCGATATAACTGGCTGTTCCCGACAGCAGTACTGATTTACTATAACGACAACACATACATTTTTAAAGATACCATAACACTCAAGGAGAAAATCCTACTATGGAACTTATCCGCGAAACGTCTTGCCCATTAGAAGGATGAAGGGGAGAGAAAAGGAAGGACTGATTAACGTGTATATATATATATATATATATAGATATATATATTTTTTTTTTAAGGAAATCGTAGGTCAATTGTAAAGAATTAGGAGTTCGTAGGCCAATCAGAAAGAGTAAGAGCACAAAGTGGACAGACTAAACGGATTTACTATCTGATAGAACCTCTGGATCCATAAAAGTTCACAAAGATTTTTAGTTCACTATTAGTTATGGTCTGCTGATTTTGTGCATGCATAAATTGAGTCATATGATGACCACTGCACAGTTATACAATTGCACAGTAGGAATACCAGAGCATAAACTATCAATTGGGGTAGGTTAGTAAAAAGTTTTTTTTTTGTTTTTTTTTACTGTATGGGTTGATTATACAGACACACACACTATATTTTTATTCACTGAACACAATATATCAGGTTAATAATGCTTTATTATTCACTATTGACTAAACCTCTAAACACACAAATCTTTTTAAAGGATCAGCTCACCCCCGATCTTTGAATTAAATCTCCTCTATATATGAAGGAATCACCTGTAAGGTAGCTCAGTTCTGTGAGCATTGACCATAGTATTAGCTAAGATATTTGTATCTTATGTATATAGATACAAACTGATTACTTTTTTACATAAGTTTCATACACTTTCTAAACTAATAACTATACAGTAAAACTAAGTCAGACAGAAGGTAATAAAATTATTTCTACTCAATTTCGTCACTTAGGCTAATTTAAATTTATGTTACTGGGGCTGACTATCTGGGTGTTTACGCGTACTGAAGATAATACAGGGGCTGGATGGGCACTGAAAGTTTATATCTTGAGATTTGAGCATCCAGAAGTGCACATGTACCAATAACAAATCTAATTGATCTATTTGTCTTAAGGGGGTCAATTAGACCTCCCCATAGGAAAGCATTGCAAAAATGCTTTCAAAGCTTTTCTATGGGGATTTCAGCAACGCTGGAGGTCCTCACATAGCATGAGGACGTCCAGCGACGCTATGGCACATGGAATGTGTGCTATAAACACGGAAGTGCTCTATAGTGGCTGTCTATTAGACAGCCACTAGAGGAGGAGTTAACCCTGCAAGGTAAATATTGCAGTTTATGAAAGCTGCAATAATTACACTTGCAAGGTTAAGGGTTGTGGGAGTTGGCAACCAGACCACTCCAATGGGCAGAAGTGATCTGGGTGCCTGGAGTGTCCCTTTAATGAGAAATTTAAGCTAGAATGGGAGGCGAAGACCATTAATTATTTGGGTGTAAGACTATCTCTGCACCTTACAGAAATCAATAAACACTACTTTTTGGCACTTGCCACCCAATTTAGGAATAATAATTTTAAAGCTCTTAAGGGCACCAAGCAGTCATGGTTAGGAAGAGTCGAGGTAGTTAAAGGACCACTCTAGGCACCCAGACCACTTCAGCTTAATGAAGTGGTCTGGGTGCCAGGTCCAGCTAGGGTTAACCCATTTTTTCATAAACATAGCAGTTTCAGAGAAACTGCTATGTTTATGAATGGGTTAAGCCTTCCCCTATTTCCTCTAGTGGCTGTCTCATTGACAGCCACTAGAGGCGCTTGCGTGCTTCTCACTGTGATTTTCACAGTGAGAGCACGCCAGCGTCCATAGGAAAGCATTATGAATGCTTTCCTATGTGACCGGCTGAATGCGCGCGCAGCTCTTGCCGTGCGTGCGCATTCAGCCGACGGGGAGGAGAAGAGGAGGATTGGAGGAGGAGAGCTCTCCGCCCAGCACTGGAAAAAAGTAAGTTTTAACCCTTTTCCCCTTTCCAGAGCCAGGCGGAAGGGGGACCCTGAGGGTGGGGCACCCTCAGGGCACTATAGTGCCAGGAAAACGAGTATGTTTTCCTGGCACTATAGTGGTCCTTTAATTCCTATTTTATACCTAGATTGCTATACTTATTTAGGAATATCCTGCTGATGCTTGACTCCCAGACGATTTCAGAGACAGTTCTCTGAATATATCTGGCAGGACAGATGCCCCAGAAAAGCCTTGGATATTTTACAGAGAGGAAGGAAGGAGGGTGGAGTGTCTTTTCCGGGCGTACAAAGGTCATATTTAGTAAGTACAATGGTACATTTTGCCATTTGTGATAATTTATCCTGATCCAGATCAACCTGGTTAGACATAGAAAAGGGGGATTAAAGAGTGTAGAACCTTTTTTTTTTTTTTTCATATGGTGTGATATGGAGTATGTGAAAAGCTTAAGATCAAAAATCTGACTATTATAACACTACTTTCCACAGTAAACGACAAATGTCCCATCACGCTCCCATAGAATGCCTAAAATATTACATAGAGGACTTAAACATCCAAGAATGGCAAAAAAGCAGATTGACAGATCTATCAGAGATAACAGATGGAGAGACAATTTTTCCATTCCCCTTCATACAGGCTAAATACAACCTCCCTCCCAGAGAGTTGTTTACCTACTTAAGAATTAAATCCTTCCTAACTGGCAGGGTATTAGCTGGGCTTATTCCGATAGATCAGTTTCTGGCTCAACATTTTAGCGATAACCTGACCTCCATGTTCTCTATGTTTCTGACTAATCAGCAACAAGAAGATAACGTTTTGGCAATGATGAAATGGGAACAAGAAGTCCAGTTTTTTGCGGTAAGGCACTAGGCTCATTCTCTCACATCTGGTGACAATGTGCAGCGTTGGGTACCTTAAAAGAGATCTTATCTAGACTGGTAAATCTTATTTTTATTGCATATTGACCTCCCTATTGGTAACATTCTTATAAAAACCTTCTGGTAAATATTTTATTATATCTTGTCGTGACAACACTGAAGAAATGACACTCTGCTACAATGCAAAGTAGTAAGTGTACAGCCTGTATAACAGTGTAAATTTGCTGTATCCTCAAAATAACTCAACACACAGCCATTAATGTCTAAATCGTTGGCAACAAAAGTGGAAATGTCCAAATTGGTCCCAATTAGCCATTTTCCCTCCCTGGTGTCATGTGACTTGTTAGTGTTACAAGGTCTCAGGT